TTCAAAATATGATATTTATTAGAGTTATTTTGCAACCATTAACATCATACCGATTTAGTACCAAGTACTAACTAACTTATTTTTTTCACCTCCTTACTGTTTATAAGCTGATGTTCACATGCGCATGTGCGTCTAAGAGTAAATTCCATCGAGAAAATATACAACAATCCGGCGACAAGTTTCGCCGAGCAGCGCTCACTCTGCGAGTGGCATAAAGGAGAGATAAACTGGTTTATTGAACAGACGGAGGGGCTATTCGCGACACCAGCGACCACCACCAAACAAACATGGCGGCTGAGTCCAGGTCGCGTCGGCTCGGCCGGGCCGCCTGAACAGGTGGCGCGTTCAATTTAACAGATTTTCTTTTGTTCAATGCCCAATTTTATAGGTATTTCAGCTGAGACGGTTAAGTGTAGCCGGTGCCCATAAACTTGCAGAGCATAGTTTTAATTTCCAAGTGTTTTTTTTTTTTTTTTTTCATGTCAAACTTTTGTTTCGGAGATTTCGTTCGAAACCGAAACTATGGGCTCTGGAGAGACGGTAATATACTAATTAGTTTTGATCATCTAAGGAAAGCGGCAATGACCGCAGAATTCTCCGACCGACAGTAATTTTCAGCCAACTCGCATGTTTCGACCATGCTACTTATCTGTCCGCAAAATCGAGCTTTTGTGCGTATCCGCGTTTAAGAAACAACTTCAGTCGTCTGCTCGGTCAACAATACGGGCTGCAGGAAAATTGTGAAAATTAAGCAAGCGCTTCTTGAGCCAAGGAGCATGTTAACCCGCCGGCACCCCACTAAGCAGCTGATACTCGTATTTGAATTCAGGGTTTAGTAGCAATCGAGAAGTCATTTTGACGAGCGGTTTATGTATTATATTACGTACTATGTCGCACTAAAGCGATATTAGTATATTCTTCGGTTTGAAATATGAGCTTAGTTAACTAGCTATTAGGTGAACTGCTGAATAAAAGTATATTTGACAGACAGAGATATACTAAGTTAAACTTAGCCAAATGATTCTAGCCGGTAGCACGGAGACGAATGCGGACAAATTGAAGAGAGTCTTCATTGGAGATTCACGCAGAACCTCTCTGCATCGAACTTGACTTCGAATCCTGAACGGAAAAAATGAGTATTTTTGTGGCCGGTAAACCTGAGAAATGTAGACATATATTGCTGCTAGCTTAATTCGACTGGGGTATAATATAAATATTGTAGGCGCGATATATCAAAATGCCGTGACAGCTTCTAACGTTGCCAGACTCGTTCCCCACCTTTTGAAAACAGATAATTTCCCTCATTCATCATTTGCAGCGAGCAGGTTTTCTTGAATCAAGTATTTGCGAAATCAGCCAAACTTTTTCATTGAGGTCCATAGGCTTTTTCGGTGGAAAACAGCCAAGATGAATAGCTAACGCACCGACCGGCGTGGGTGGCTCAAACTTGAAGCTAATCGAACACAACCAAACTCAAGAAAAGCAGCTATCGAACCTTCCCATTCAGTTGACTGCAGCATTGGTGTTCCCTCCAGTGAAATGCCTCGTCTGTCGTCCCCCTACTGTTCTACATCCTTATAAAGAAACCCCTTATCAGTTACCAAGTAGTCGTCACTTTAAATGTGATTCGAGACAGACAAGAAATCAAAACGTTTTCCGCGATTTCTCCCCACCCAAGAAATCGAAAACACGTGATGGAAGGAAACAATCTACTGAGGCTTCCCCATACTAATGAACACTCAGGCAAACTTAAGAAATTTTCGGACCTTCTTGAAATTACACTGTTGGCCATCGCGCCGACAACACGTGTCCGCGAAAGCCACCAGAGACGCGGAGAGGCGCGGAGCGACCTGGACCGGCTGGTTCCCGGTTTTCCCGCTTGGTGGCGTCCGTTTTGCTGGGGTCGCGAATAATGCAGGGGAGGTGTGGCGATAGCACGAGTGAGATATATCTTGCGATACAAGCAGACATAGCTCAGTATCATCTGTTTGCAGGCAGCCGTGCCACGTTGCTTTTCGGGGCTAGATCTAACTCAGTGGCCGATATGGGCGCCTCTCGCGGCGGCGTCGTGCGTACCCATCGGGTAGCGACCTCGGCGGTCGCAGCACGACTGCAGTGGTACATCGGTAGGTGTTTCAAGGTCAACATGCCTGCTTGGGCTACCACATTGGCAGAAACGCGGGAGCAGCGGCGGGGCTCCACCGCTCTCCCTCCACTGGATCAAAAGTGGCCACGCGAGGCGCTGTTCGCTTGGCTCGTAGCGGACGCAGGGTGCCCATTGAGCATTTTATTGCAATCTATGACGGTATTGTTCAAAGATGATGCAAACAATACGTGATATGTGAACTGCCGATAAAGTATTGTCTTCCTTGTATTAGAGCTTAAGGTTCTGTGCCAATATTTTCCCCACTATATGACAAACACAATAAGGGGCGCGTAAGAAGTTAGTTTACCATAACCTCTTTAAGTAGGTCTGTTGATCACGTTAAAATCAATAAAAAAAAAAGTACTCCGAAAAAACGTTATTGCAAAACTGCCCTTTAACTGCGCAAAAAAAAAGGATATCTAATGAAACATACAGTCTTCATTATTAGAATGCAATTAAATGCAAAGGTGCAAGCGAGCTGGACAAGAATGATGAAAATAATCCCTGGAGAAAGGGAACAAGAGGGACAAAGGACAAACATAAATCTCCAAACACAGCTAGGTGCTCCAAACACAGCTAGGACAAACACAAATCTCCAAACATAGCTTCTTGTATAGCTCGCTTGCACCTTTGCATTTAATTGCATTCTAATATTAACCTTAAATTGCAAGCTTCACCCTTGTTGGTGTTAGACTGATGGCAGCTGATAAAACCCGTTTGCTCTACTGACGTCTAACCCCTGGTTAGCTCAGTTGGTAGAGCGCTCCACCTGTAATGGAGAGGTCCCGGGTTCGATACCCGGACCAGGCGGATTTTTTCGGTCGCTCAACAGTCACCTAGCTATGTTTGGAGATTTGTGTTTGTCCTTTGTCCCTCTTGTTCCCCTTCTCCAGGGATTATTTTCATCATACAGTCTTCGTCTCAAATTACAAAGCAGACTGTGCCGCTTTCACTTTTATCTTTATTGAGCACGTAAGAAACGTGTAAACGTGTAACCAGGTTCATCAAATTATCTAGAGTAGAATTGCGCTTGCAGTACTGTAATCGACACTGTAAAGTTGGGATGTAGTTTATGAAAGACGCCATCTGATTTATTCGCACTCAGGGGCAACATATCTCGCCTATCTCCAAGTCCGTGTGCTTATCTGTGTGCAGATGTGTCCCTGCTATATTGCCTGCCTCGCCCCCCCCCCCCTCCCCCCCCCCCCCCGCTTTTTTCCTTCTTTTATTTCTGATTTCCATTTTTCCCGTTTATTTTTCGGCTCTTTCTACTTTTTTTTTTTTATTTGAGGGAGGGGGGGGCGTTACACAATTGGCTCTATTTCGCACAACATACAATGTTTTCTGCATTTTTTTTCTCAAAAATACCTTCTCCTCATTTTTTTACAGAAAGCGATCGCCTTTTCACAAACACGAATGGTCCAATACTCCTCCAGCTTATTTGGAACAAAACTCGGAATGAGTCGTAATAACTCTAAAATTAAATAAAAAGAGTGGAAACAATAATTTGCCGAGTCATGCCCGCACCCGCATAAAGTCACGCAAGGCGGCTAACGTCAACGCAGCAACGCATCAGTATCGAAAAGTCCAATGTTGGCAACGTTGTAACGAGGAATTGGTGGCTTCTGTGTCGTTTTAGGGAACGTCATTTAGAACTGCTTATCTACAAAAGCAAGAGATAGCGCAAGTGTGTGTCGTCTGCTACAGCAAAAATAATATTTGATACTTATAAAAATTGGTTAACGTTTGAAAAATTATAATCGTGGAAATTAATCTCAAATGGATTGAGGAAAAATTTTCTTTACAAATGTTCTTTCAAAATAACTCTTGTTTTTTCTGAGTTGCGGTTTTCGCGTACATAGTCAAGCTTCAAAATATTGCTTCACTACGAAATTATTTTAAACGACTTCCAGCACAAATACAAAGAAATTAGCTTTTAAGAGGACCAACCTATTTCCGCTGGAACACAATTACAAGTATCAGACCGGCTACTAAAATACTATCTGAAAAACCTGGAACTCCTTGAATTAAATTTCGAAATTGAAACATTTTAAGGCAAAGTTTACGACTAAACGGCTGAAATTGCGCTTTTCAATTTTTTTTTTTTTTACGTTGAGTTGCTAGGTTTATCAAAAACAGTGTTGTACACGTTCCTCAAAAAAAGGAACGAAAGCTCGTTCCTCGTTCCTTCTGATCTCTTTTTATAAAAAGAAAGCCACCTTCCAAAAAAGAAAAAAAAATGTGTGTGCACAAATTAGAAAAAAGACGTAATAGGAGACTGCACGTGTCCTTTATCTATTTATAATTAAAACCAGAACGCGACTTGGTCGCCTTAGAAATCTATAAACCTAGAACTCATAGAAAGGTGTTTCCAAAAATGACAAAACCTTCGCTTTTTGTTTGTCCATTACGGGTTACGTTTGCGGAGATCATATATCACATTTTGTCCTAAGGTACGGAAGATAAATCGGCCATTCATTTGCAATTAAAACAAATTGCGTTACTCCCGCACAGACGCGACATTTGTACCGCGAACATGAGCCGAAGTACAGCCAGCACCGGCATTATTGTTGCGGCCGTGGGACCGCAGCCTTAATAACTTTCGTTTAACAAAGATTGAAAAAAAAATTAATTTGAAAGCACTGAAGCAATATTATTCGGTAGCCGATTGCGTTGTTAAACTGCACGTAGAAAGAAAACGAGTATAAAAAAAAGAAAAGAAAAAAGGGTGTTTGCCCCAATTTAAGTGTATTTGAGGGCTGTACATGTGCTTGTGCGTTTGATGTTTGCGGCCATAGTGCCACCGCGCATTCTCGCACGTCTACAAAAAGAACGTCTCGACAAACATTCTGACCAGAAATTGAAGGCCGTGCTTCAGGTGGCTGTATAATCCTCCGTGACTGGCTGCGAGATGGATCACGTGGGTTGGCCTGTGCTTCGCGAACAGAGCCTCAGTTTCCACGGCATTCCTTCGAGGCAAGATGAGATAACTATTAATTTTTATAATACTTATTTTGTCAGGTTCTCTGGGCGTCTCGATATGACTAATATAAGTTTTTTTTGACGCGTTAACCTGGTTTTGCGTAGACAGGATGCACTGTCCAATTATTCAAGGTGTCCTTTGACTGGACAATTGTAAAAACCAAAATGATCGTCAGTTCATCGTCTACGAATAGGTAAAATATTTAATGGTGTCAATTCACAGCTCTGCCTTAGAATAATGAATATATTTTTTTTTCATAAAAATGTTATCACAATTTGTATCGTGCAGTCCTAGAGCCATTTTGTAATCATTTCTGAGCGAGACTAGCTTATTACCTTGGCCCTTCATAGTGAAAATTAAAGGAGCTGTGCACTGGCAAAATTGGGTGAATGGGTTAAACATAATGAGATAAAACAGCGCAAAAAAGTATAAAAGGAAGCGACAAACCGGACAGGACAGTAATTTGACTCGCAACTGTGTATTTTTGCTTATAGACGAGGAGAAAGAAAACACAGATTGTTCCACGCGCTCACACGCACATCTTCTGCCCATGTTGTCTGCGCATTACGACACGTTTTGGACCTTTATTGTCAGTTTCAGGAATTCCAGTCCCTTGCTAGACAACGCCACTGACGCTGCGCTGATGCAGTTTCTTCCACCACTGTGGATGTAGAATGCCTCAAGCACCTGACATGTCACTTTTTCATTGCGCCTTCACAAAATTATGATGATATTAAAAGACGGTTCGCGCAGCCACTCCTCACAGTGAACTGAAAGGTTTCCCCCCACTGTGACTCCGAGAGAGTACCTGTGCTCACTGAGCCTATTGTTCAGGTCGCGTCCTGTTTGGCCAACGTAGGTGCGGCCGCCCGAGGGGAATGCTGTACACAACGCCCGTGGCACATGCCGCAAACGGCTAGGTGTGCTTCTTATTGCACGTGTTCTTTTTGATTCCCTCTGCCTTCGCGTTAACTCTAGGACAAATCTGACTCTCGTTTTTTTTTTTTTTCTTTGTGGGGCTGAAACAAAAATAAATACAAAACTATTCCGTAGCGGTTTCCTACATTTCTTTTTCTAGTACGTAAAACTCTATGTAAATACTGGGTGATCACTGGTCGCTTTCTTTCCACGTCACGTTTTTGTGGAATGGCCACCCTTTTTTCTCGTCAGCAGTGTGCATGCCACGTCTGACAGTAGTGCCGATGGATAGCCCGCATTTTTTTAACTGTCTCTTGAAACTGTCCCCTAGACTACAACTTGAAGCTGTCTCCTAGAGTTTGGAAGCAAGATTTCTTCTGTGTCGAGCCTAGACAGGTTAATGCAATGCCTTTGTTTGCAATTTTTGAGTGGGCCGACCTGTAGTCAAGAAAACCTTTCTTAGATCTTGGGCTGTACTTCCAGCAAACTTGGGAGCCTCCTAGGTTGATTGAAATGTCCAGGTACTGGAGCAAACCTTCTTCTGGGGCCCTAAACTCGACAAACACAAAGTTGGAGCCGAAAGTTCGCGGAGCGCGCAGATTGAACGTAGGCGACAAAAATGCGAAGTCACATCGTCGTGATTGTTGAATCAGTGCGCTCCGTCAACTTCGGCCCCAACTTCGTGTTTGACAAGTTTAGGACCCCTGGAATCTTAAAGGTAAATTTATGCCTCCCCCCCCCCCCCCCCCCACACACACTCAAACACACAGTTCTGAAAGGTCTCCACCCCTTTGTTCACCTGCGTGTCCAGTGGTTAACCTCTGGACACGTATGTGAATCACCAACTTAGTGGATTACCTTCTTGATACTCGTCCCGCTTAACGCTCTTTCGATGCCACAGCCCACTTCACCTAAGTAAATGTCACTTAAAACGGGGGCAACACAGGAGCCCATACACACCCCCGACTTTTGCCTGCAGCACCCTTCACGTCACCCAACTGTCATTGACTGCAGAAGGAATAGTAACGTCTCAATTAAACTTTCCATGGGTACACTAATAATGCCTCTGAATGCCAGCTCTCCATTAGCTTCAATGCATCCATTCACTGTTGCTAGCACTCTTTTGTGCGGCAAGGAGTAATAAAGATCTTCCACATATTAATAAAGGTTTCCTCTTCCACAGATCTCCTACCTGGAGATACTCGACTAGCTCCTCTTAGTTGAAAACTATTTGTCTGATAGCATGACACGTACGTAGTTCCTGATCTACCAGAAAATTAACTAAGGTGGTAATTTAACCAACCTGTCCTTTTTTCTTTAATTGTTGGAGTGCATCCACACATTCGGAGATACACCTTGGTCTGTCTCCTTCAAGTCGGTTGACGTGAAGGGTGCTACAATCAAAAGTCGGGCTGGGTATTGTGTCCTGTGTCGTCCCTGCTTTAAGTGACATTTACTTTGGTGAAGTGGACTGTGAAATCGAAAGAGCATTAAGCGGCACAAGTATAAAGAAGGTAATTTGTTTTGTTGACGATATTTTTGTGATTTTAGAAAAAAGGTTAACCATTGAACACGCAGGCGAACAAAGTGGTGAAGACATTAGCGGAGTGCAGGGGGTCACTAAGTTCACCTTTGAGATTCCAGAAGAAGGTGTGCACATGAACCATTCCATCAATCTAGTAGACGCCAATGGTTGTTGGAAGTACAGCCCAAGTTCTAAGAAAGGTATTCTTTGACCACAGGTCGGCCCACTGAAAAATCGTAAAGAGGGGCATTCCGTTAACCTGTCTAGGCTCGGCACTGAAGAAATCCTGCTTCCACGCCCTAGGGGACAGCTTCAAGTTGCATATTGACAAACCGAAAAATGCGGGCTGTCCATCGGCACTACTGTCAGACGTGGCTGAAACACTACTGAAGAGATCAAAGGGTAGCCATTTCACAAAACGTGGTGTGGAAAGAAAGTGACCAGTGGTCATCCAGTATCTACACAGAGCTTCACATAATTTTAAAAAATGTGGGAAACTGCTACAGAATTCCAGTGTTTTCTTTCAGCTTCCCAAAAAACGAGTCAGATTTATCCCAGAGTCAACGCGAAGGCAGAGAGAATCAAAAAGAACACGTGCAGTCAGAAGCACGCCAAGCCGTTTGTGCCATGTGCCACGGGTGTTGTGTACAGCATACCCCTCTTTTGCGGCCTCACCTACTTTGGGCAAATGAGACGCTGCCTCAATGATATAGCTCCGTGAGCACAGGTACTCTCTCGGAGTCACAGTGGAAGGACACCTTTCAGTTCACAGTAAGGAGTTCCTGCGCGAACCGTCTTTTAATACCATCACAATTTTAGGACGGCACAAAGAAAATGTGACACGTCAGGTGCTTGAGGCATTCTACATCCACAGTGACGGAAGAAACTGCATCAGCGCGGTGTCAGTGGCGTTGTCTATACTTTGTTTCACCTTATGTTGTACCGCAGCGAAGGCTATAGAAGCGCGAGCTCATAGCGTTGACAGCTGCCCTTGGTGCACGAGAGTTTGTGCCGCAAAGATGTGCCCCAGAGCCAGGAGCTCGGGCTTGTAGCAACACAAGGTCACCTTAACATAGACTAACCGCGAATGCTGTGCTAGCGCGAGCGGCTAGCTTTGACTGCCTTGACTGGAGCACTCGTTGCACGAGCGCTCGTGCAGCCGCCGAGGCTTCATTCGAAGCAACTATCTCGCGCTTTTAACACGCGCGGCTAACAATAGTCCATACTAACGTGAGACGAAGTATAGTAAGGAGCTGAAATTCCTGAAACTAACAATAAAGGTCCCGCACGTGCCGTAATGCGTAGCTACGATGGGAAGAAGATGTGCGTGTGAGCGCGTGGAAAAATGTGTGTTTGCTTTCTCCTTGTCTATTAGTAAAAATACATAGATGCGAGTCAGCGCTCTGTCCTGTATGGGTTGTCGCTTTCTTTCGTACCTTTTTTGCGTTGTTTTATATCATTACGTTCAACCATCTATACAGCGCAGGAATCGAACGACATTTCAAAGCAGGGTACCATACCCGTCCCATACGCATTAGAAAAAGAAAAAAAAAGGAACTTTAGTGAAATGCATTGCAACCGAGAAAGTGGAGCATTTTTATCTTTGGGTTTCCACGATTCCTGCTGAGTCTTCGAATGACACCCCTTTTAAAATCACTGAATCGTTTTCGAGTTTTCTAGCGGTGGCCGCAGTTCACATAAATTAATAAGTTATGGCACTATACTTTATCTTAAGTTCGAACGCGCAGTCGATGTTACAAGCCGATGAGCCAATCAAGCACTGCCAGATAGAATGCCATGGTGTCTGTGAATGATCCGTGAGCAGGCACGTACCCGCGGGGGGGGGGGGGGGGGCATAAGGCCCCCCCCCCCACACACTTCCCGCCTCCTCCCCCCCCCCCCCCCGAAATTTTCTATTTGCTGGGACCTCCTCTCCCCACCCCGCCTCATAGAGCATTTTGTCATGGGCGGGCCTCCCCCGATACAAAGTCCTGGCTATGTGCCTGGCCGGGAGTTTGCTCATGTAGCATGTGTGTCCGTGTTTATATGTCTCCAATGCGTTTGACGGCGCTCGAACTTATGATGAAGCGAAGATAACTTGTCTTCTTTCAGTCAGTCATGCGAAGGCGGACGACTAAAAGACAACACAAGTAGTCACCAGCAAATGCGAATTATAAATACGCAAAAGCAAACGTCGAACTGAACGCAAGTCAAATTTGAGGAGGAGAAAACACCGAAAACAACCGAACTGCTTCGTGGAGGGCGGTCAAAGACCAGTTACCTGAGATCGGCGTCTTCTGAGGACACAAAAACCCAGGTCTCGTCGTCCATCTTCACGTTGTCTATGAGGTTCTGGATTGCACTTCCGATTAGACCGCTGCCGCCGGTCACCAAAACTTTCTTCCGATCAGCTGACATCTTAAACACTGGAAGACGAAACACATATATTACGCTCCTAAAATTATTCGTTGTCGATTTTTCAATATACACGGCCGATGAACTTGCTACCGTCCTGCTAGTAGTGTTTTCGAAGCCAGAAGTCGGATGGCAATGCTTTTCATACGCGAAAGCCGAAAGTTGCTTTTAATAAAGGGAAAGCCTTATACGTCCCATAACGAGAAAAGGCGTCGGCGTTGTGCCCGAAAAATGGTCACAAAAATACGTCATCGAGCACGCACCGCTCATGCTCAAAGCGGACGCGCCTATGGAATAAAAGAGAAAGAAAAGCACAGCAAAGCAGATGCTTCGCCACGGGAGCCGTCGTGAAGCCGGCTGCGTTCGCCGCGCCTCCATGCCACCACCGGAGCGCCGTGTGAAGATGGAAGACGTGGCGCGTTGCGTGTAGGAATGCTTTTGCATTCCTACACGTAAGCACATTTAAGTGTCTTCGGCGTGCTTTTTTTTTTTTAGTACAGATGGTATGTTCGTTACAAGGCACATACTCAGGCGGGAGTTCCATCATTTTCAGAAAGAAGTGTTTAAAGCCACAAAGTCCATCTGCTCGTTCATCACACAAAAGGCAAGGTGTTCGTTGCAGACAAGATGACAGAATCATCTGCGGCCACGACCCAAGCATGTTCGAAGCATGTTTGCTTCGAACATGCTTGAACATGTCTGCAGGCAGTTTTTTGTATGACCAATCTGACAGACTACCGTCATGCAAAAAAAAAAAAAACACGCTTGAGAGTGTCAGCAGACTGCCCTTTGTTTGATGTATACAAGCAGTGTGAGCGCAACTTTACAGACCCCGTAATTGACCATGACCACTTCAAAAAAAAAAAAAAAAAAAAAAAAAATATATATATATATATATATATATATATATATATATATATATATATATATATATATATATATATATCAATGACTATTTGCCGATGATCTCATTTAGATGCATTCGGAGGAACCGTTTCGGGTCTTAAATCCTATAATAATCGTAAGTTACAAGTATAGGCTGTAGGTTTTCCGGTGTTTGTTTATGATGTAAATCGCGGGATGTTTTTCGACCTTCATTTTATTTTATTATTTTTTTAAATATCGGTGTATTTCGGTGCTTTGTTTCGTGCGGTCGCTAAGAACGGTGATGATTGGTGAAAAAGATTATGAATAATTGTAAGTTCTAATCTAAAAGGGAAGGCGGGTCTCGATAAAATTCAGTTCTGTCTATACTCTGTTCATCGTTAAAGGCCCGTTAACACACTTGCAACCGAGTACGACCGGGTGAGACCAAAGCCCCCTCTATCCTGGGAAAAGTGGCGCCATTAATTGTTATAGAAATGCTCGAGGCACGTGCCGCGCGCCACTTCTGGGAAGAACATGGCGTCTGAAATCTAGCTCAGTGATGCGCTGTGCTGCCATGATCTTCCCAAGGGATGCACGTTGCACGTGCCTCGTGCATCGACGATAATTGAGCTACTTTTGAAACATAAAGGGGCTTTAGGTGAGACAAGACTGTTTTTTTAGCCTCTTGCGACGGCGCATGCGCTGCTGCGGAGCAGGTCCTAAGCCAACGCAAGAACCAAACAATTTAGTGTCCATAATAAGTGGCGCAAGTTCTCTCACCGAGCCAAGTGCCGCCGGTGTTCGCGAGCACACGCATCGAAATTGACGTCATAGTCCTTCCTTCGCGCTTAAGATGACTGTGAAATGTATGGGCTTCGGGCCAAAGGAGAATAAAGACAGGCTTTTTATCTCCACAAGTGAAAGCTACGTGCTTGTTAGACCATTTAATCGCTTACCTCTGACACCAGACCCAACTGTGGAGATGAAAAGCTTGTTTTTATTCTCCTTTTCCCTTAAGCGTGAATGAGGAACTTTGACGTCAATTTCGTTGCGTGTGCTCGCGCACACCGGCGGCTGTTGGCTCATGGAAAGATCGTGCGCCACTTATTATTGACACTGAAATGTTTGCTTCAGCAACCCTCTAAAAACCGGTCTCGTCTGAGCCGGTCCTACTAGGTTGCGAGTGTGTGAATGAGCCTTAAAGGGATACTGAACCAAGGAATTTGGTGTCCATAATAAGTGGCGCACGTTCTTTCCACGAGCCAGCAGCCGCCGGTGTGCGCGAGCACAGGCAACAAAAATGACGTCACAGACCTCCATTCGTGGTTGAGATGACAGTGAAATGTATGGGCTTCGGACCAAGGGAGAATAAAGACAAGTTTTTCATCTACACAGTGGTGCCTGGTGTAAAAAGTAAGCGATGAATTGGTCTAACAAGCACGTAGCTTTCACTTGTAGAGATAAAAAGCCTGTCTTTATTCTCCTTTAGTCCGAAGCCCATGCATTTCATTGTCCTCTCAACCGCGAATGGAGGTCTGTGACGTCATTTTTGTTGCGTGTGCTCGCGCACACCGGCGGCTGCTGGCTGGTGGAAAGAACGTGCGCCACTTATTATGGGCACTAAATTCTTTGGCTCAGTATTTAAGTTGAGACTATAGGGTGGGAGCTACATTCCCGCCAGGCCAATCAGCCGCCTCCCTTTTATCACCTGACCCGGCTCTTCGCGCGTGCGTATCCCCCCGGGGAGGTTATATTAAGACTCCTAGAGTGTAGGTGGCGCCCCGTATAGCTGACGCCGAAAACACCGGCTGTCGCCATCTTACTCGGGGCAGAAAACGGATCGACGCGGCCTGCGGCGTACGACTGATCTGATTTTTGCCTTGAATTGTTGTGATGTGCGGTGTTTCATTGGAGGCAAGTCTTTTTAAAACAACTGCAGTTGTTCGCGAAGGCGATGGTCGGCACGTTGCTACGAATCTCGTTAGCTGGCTATAGCTTACTACTGCATGTGAGCAGGCTTACGGGAGAAAGCTTGATGATTACGTGCATTTTAACGGTAAAATAAAGCTTTAAACATGTTTGCGCGTCGCAGGTTTTCCGAAGACAACACTCGGCGTGCTGCATGAGAGCGTTCTGTTCGACTGGGAGATGATTGGTCGTTTAAGAATACTGACGTTCTGTGTTCGGTGCACTTCGAAGACGACTGCTTTGACACAAGCGGTCAAACGAGAAGACTTGGACCGGGTAGTATTTCGACTGTGGTTCCTGCATTTCCAACGTACCTGCGGAAAGCCGCGAGTATCGTAGCGACTGTGAACGCTTGCATTGTATTTTAGTTAGTTGCATCTTAAACTCAAGATGGTGTGCTTAAAGCAGCCGTGCACTTGAAAAAAAAAGTAATATAAACGACTTTATTTTCGCTAGCTTGATATTTCTGAAATTTCTTGAAGTGCCAGTTTTGGGGATAGTTCACGGGCACGAATTTTCGCGATTGTGAGAGGTATGCTACGTATTCATTCCTCTGGGGTTGATTATTCGTGATAATAGGATATTCTCGGGTAATAAGATATCCGAGAAAAGAGAATCCAACGTGTCTGAGCAGCCTTCGAGTCCTTTAAATAAAATAAAAATCGTTGTTTTGTTTTCTTTGTAATACGCAACCCCAAAAGCAACAGAGCACTGCTAGCGCCCTTTCCAGCGCTGCCCCTTTTTTCCCTGAGCAAGATGGCCGCCAATGGTTAACCTGGCTTCACCCAGACGCATGGGAATGGGCGGGTGACCGCCACTACAGAAGTCTTTGGTGGGTGTAACCGGGAGCATGATGACGTGGCGAAAGAGAGGAGGATAACTGGTCCAACGAGGACGTAACTTCCACTGCAGTCTCAGGTTTTTACCAAATTATTGTCAAATCGGGGTTTTTCGGTTTTAACTGATCTTGTATTTTTGACACCAATGGATGTTTATCGGTGTTTTACGGTTTTAGCGGAGTTTGTGTTTCTGGCACCAACGGATGTTTATTTAGGTTTCTCGGTTAAAACCGGAAAGTCCACGGCATAGTGATAACCGGTGGTAGCTTACAAACAGCGCAATTAAAGTGTGCACCGATAAAAAAAAAATCAAGTCCGCTTAACACGAAAATGAACAAACATTTCCGGCCAAACGAATAATGCCACGTAACTAAAACGAATAACTTACCTTCTTCCGTCCAGTTGTACGAGGATGGGCGACCAGGTGTGATCGTGTTGCGCGTTCGTCAGTCTCGCTCGTCAGATCTCGTCCGCAAAAAGGGCCCAGTAAATCAGGCTGGTATTTTGAGCACCTCGTTGCTTATAATAAAAGCGAATGCTAAACTTTAAAAAAAAAAAAAAAAACAGATGTTGTTGCTAGCTGTACACGTGGCTTCGCTAACCAGAGAAAAAAAATGAGAAAGAAAATAGCAGAAGTACATATGGGAGTTTTAGACGACTTTTCCACGATCCAAACTTTTGCGCTGTCTCACCGAGATGCCCAGTCAACGAAATGGGCAGTGACAAATCTACACAAGGAACGTCTTGGGGACAATAACACTGTGATATCTAGAAGGTCAACAACTAGTCGTACGACGATAGAGATAAAGTTAAGCGAACAGAAGGAAAGGAAAAAAATGAGCCTCGGTAATGACGGCCCCCATACACAGCTGGCGAACGGCGTCTATACACAGTGTCAACGCGTTTTTCGTACTACGTTGTCAAGGCTTGCGTATAGTTGCCGCAGCTTTGTCAAACCACTTCCGCGAGCTCGCGGGAACGAGATGAAAGATGAAGCAACACCGCGGTCGCGCAGCAGTGCTAAGGGAAATGTGATGTGTAAACCGGGAAAGGGGGTTTATTGCCCATGCGTAATATTATTCCCCTGCATGGGCAGGAGGGAGGGGGAAGGAAAGATGTGGGTAAGGAAGGGGAGGAGGGTTAGTCAGAATGCTTTTTCTGCATGTGCGCACCGCCGTGAAGCAGCGGCGCCTCGAACAGTGGCTTCCCTCTGAGTGGTTAGCAACGGCATCTTACCAGCTTGCAGCTTCATATGGTTGCTGTATACGTTAGGTAGGCCGCACAATCCTGAAAGTAGTGTGTAAAGTTATTCGCGACTCCAGCGACCTGTAGGGGGCGCCACCACCAAACAAACATGGCGGCTGAGTCCAGGTCGCGTTGGCTCGGCCCGGCCCGCCTGAACAGATGGCGCGTTCAACTTAACAAATTTTATTTTCTTTAATGCCCAATTTTATAGGTGTTTGAACTGATATGGTTAAGTGTAGTCGGTGCATATAAACTTGCAAAACATAGTTTTGTTTTCCTGGTGGTTGTTTTTCTTTTCATATCAAACTTTCGTTTCGGAGATTTTGTTCAAAACCAAAACTATGGGCTCCACAGAGACGGTAATATACTAATCATTTTTGACCATCTAAGGAAAGTGGCGATGACTACAGAGTTGTTCCACCGAGAGTAATTTGCAGCTAACTCGCATGCCTCGACCATGCGACTTATCTGTCCGCGAAAACGAGCTTTTGTGCGTATCCGCGTTTTAGAAACAACTCCAGTCGTCTGCTCGGTCAACAACACAGGCTGCAGGAAAATTACGAAAATTAAGCGAGCGCTTCTTGAGCCAAGGACCATGCTAACCCGCCGGCGTCCCACTAAGTAGCTGATACTCGTATTTCAATTCAGGTTTTAGTAGCAACCGAGAAGTCATTTTGACGAGCGGGTTATGTATTATATTACGTACTATGTGTGTGTGTGTGGGGGGGGGGGGGAGGGGTCTCACTTAAGCGATATTAGTATATGCTTCGCGTTGAAATATGAGCTTAGTTCACTAGCTATTAGGCGAACTTCTGAACAAAAGTATATTTGACAGACAGAGAGATACTACTTAAACTTAGCCAAATGGTTCTAGCCGGCAGCACGGAGACAAACTGATCAGAGTCTTCATTGGAGATTCACGCAGAACCTCTCTGGCATTGAATTTTGCTTCGAATCCTGAACGGAGAAAATTAGTATTTTTTGTGGCCGGTCAACCTGAGGAATGTAGACGTATATTGCTGCTGGCTTCGATGGGGGTATAATATAAATATTGTAGGCGCGATAGATCAAAATGCCGTGACAGCTTCTAACGTTGCGAGACTCGTTCCCCACCTTTTGAAAACAGATAATTTCCCTCATTCATCACTTGCAGCGAGCAGGTTTTCTTGAATCAAGTATTTGCGAAATCAGCCAAACTTTTTCAGTGAGGTCCATAGGCTTTTTCGGTGAAAAACAGCCAAGATGAATAGCTAACGCACCGACCGGCGTGGGTGGCTCAAACTTGAAGCTAACCGAATACAACCAAATTCAAGAAAAGCAGCTGTCGAACCTTCCCATTCACTCGACTGCAACATTGGTGTTCCCTCCAGTGAAATGCCTCGTCTGTCGACCTCAGTCCACTGTTCTACATCCTTATAAAGAAACCACTCATCAGTTACCAACTAGTCGTCACTTTGAATGTGATTCAAGACAGACAAGAAATCAAAACGTATTCCCGTGATTCCTCCCCATCCAAGAAATCGAAAGCACGCGAACGTGTGTTGTGGAGTAAACGGGCTTTCAAACACGTGATGGAAGGAAACAATCTACTGAGGCTTCACCACACTAATGAACACTCAGGCAAACTTAAGAAATTTTCGGACCTTCGTCAATATACATTGTTCGCCACCGTGCCGACAACACGTGTCCGCGATAGCCACCGGAGACGCGGAGGGGCGCGGAGCGACCTGGACCGGCAGGTTCCCGGTTTTCCCGCTTGGTGGCGTCGGTTTTGCTGGATCCGCGGATGAAGTTGAGAGGCTGAAGATACAGAATATTGCAGTTGAGAGAGCTAGTAAATACAAGTATCTAGGAGTATGGATATGTGATAGTGCAAAATATCCCAGAGAGCATGAAAAGTATATAATAGGTAAGGGCAACAGAAATGCAGCTGTAATGAAAAATAGAGCACTTTGGAATTACAACAGGTATGAGGTGGTGAGAGAGATTTGGAAAGGGGTCATGGTGCCTGGCTTGACTTTTGGAAACGCGGTGCTATCCATGAAATCCGAAGTGCATGCGAGACTAGAAATAAAACAGCGCGGAGTAGGTAGACTGACTTTGGGGGCACATTGCAAAACGCCAAACCAGGGAGTACAAGGAGACATGGGATGGGCGTCATTTGAGAGCAGGGAAGCGGTGAGCAAGATAGAATTTGAGGATAGGTTGAGGCAAATGGATGGGGAGCAATAGCACGAAAGGTTTTCAGCTATTTATACATGAGGAGTGTAGACACAAAGTGGAGACAGCGCACTAGGAAATTAAGAGGAAAGTTTTTGGGCTATAGCGAAGATACGGAAGAGCAAGTCTCAGTTAAGAAGAAAGTTAAGGCCACAGAAAGAGATCGGTGGCTAGAGGGAATGCAGACAAAGACGGCTCTGGAAAGCTATAGATTAAACAAAACAGTTATTGCCAAAGAAAGCATTTATGACAATTCTAGGGGAAGCTCATTGCTGTTTGAGGCAAGGACGGGTGTTCTGCGAACCAGAACATACAGAGTGAAGTACCAGGAAATGAATACAGTGTGCACTGCTTGTGGAGAGGAGGACGAGACGGCTGAGCACTTGATACTCTACTGTAAAGGGTTTCACCCTATGCCTACCGAAGACAACATAGATTTAATAAAGTCATTGGGTTTTAGAGACAGCGAAGGGAGAGTGGATTTCAAGACTGTAGAGATTACCAAGCAAAGATTAAGTGAATGGTAGCAGAAATCGAGAGAAAACTAGGTATTTTCTTATTCACTGATGGCAAGGGGGTTTCATAGCCTCAATTTCTTTGCACTGCGGAGGGAATATAGATTTCACATTTAAATATTCTAAGCTTAAATGGTAAAACAAAATGGCTAGATGGCGTAAGCTACCGCCCGATCCAAAGGGCTCAGCCGTATTCATCCATCCATCCATCCATCCATCGCGAATGGGTGGTCTGCCAGGCCTGGTTCGTGGGGGAAATCTAGCACTGCTCTGGAAATCATATGTGCCCGTTGCCTGCTACCTATAGGAAACAGTAATTCCCGAGTGGTGGATACTTGGGAGCCGTAGGCTTGGATACATGTCATCAATGTCTTTCGAGCATTGCTGTACTCTGGACAGTGCCAGAATATATTGTCCAAGTCATCTTCCTGATCTCCGCACACAGCGCAGTTCGGACCCCTTCTG